TGTAAAGAAAAGTATCCTCCTATGTAGAGTTGAAGGACCTTGGCATTTGTTCACTGCAGCTGGGATAGGAGGAGAAAATCCACAGGGCCTTGAGTGAAAAACAGAATCACTAAAGTAAAACCAGATTATGATTATATTCTGTCCTTGATCTCCTACCCTAAATCTATAACTAATTCACTGAAAAATACATTCTATCCTGGGCTTCTGCATTTCCTAGTGGATGTTTCTAAGATACTAAATTGCATTGTACTGTACCCTGAGGCACACAAGCTGCTGTAACTTACAGAGGGAGATTAAACTTTCAGGGCCTTTTCTTCTTCAGAGTTCATACTGGTTAAGATATAATTTCTGTATCAGTTACCAGGACAAATATCCCTTGTAGGTTAAAAGATTAATACATAAATACTTAGCAGTTCTTTTCCTTTAAATGCATTTATGATACCAGTAGCACCGCATGGATAGCTCTTCACCCCAGAAGACTTTGGCATCTTACAACATCTGGAGGTGGGTGACAGTTTTACTCTCAGTTTATGCATTTCTGCTTTTTACTGCAGTTTTTCAGAAATTTCTTTAGACCTTGGCAACTCTGAAAAGGAGGAGGCCGAGCATGCAAAGTCAGTTAGCGACGGCCCCGGGATAGGATGCAAAGAGCAGGAGCAGCTGGGCAGGTTTCAACCCAGAGACATGACTGCTCGGGCCCTCAGATATTTTTATATTTTCAGACACTGTAGCTCCAACAGAAGAACATTGGAATTACCAGCCAGAAGCCTGCATTACATACCTTACAAAATGAAGAACAGCCTTGAAAGAGTAAATGTGTTGTTAAGAATGATAATCTTGAACGCTGATTGTAGTAGATAAGCAGTTCAGTGTTAAAAAATAAAGTAAAAAGGTCAAACGCCTATGTTTCTCTTTAGAGGTGTACCTGAACAATGTTGCTGCCACCCACTGAAAGGTAAGGCGCTTGTGCAGTTGCAGCAGAAGCAAGTTGTCAACTCTTACACTAAGTACACATATTTATGTACAATTCAATATTGGTCTCCAGGCACAAATGAAATGTAAGATCATTTCTCTCTTGTTTTTGTTAGGAATTGCTGGAAGAGGCGAGGCTGCCACAGCTCCATGGCCCCCAGGTCCAACCAGTAGCAAGGCTCAGGGTGCATCCCCCATAGGCACACGCACACACCACATACGTACATGTATGCAGCTGGCCACACAGGTCCAGACAGACAGACAGACACACAGAGCACTCACACAAACACAGGCAGTATCAACAGCCTCATCCTGCTCCCCTCTGGCTGAGTAGGATGGAGGACCATTAGGGGGAGATATAGATATATATCTGTATCTCCCACTAATACATATTATATAGATGTATTACTTTTAAGTACAATTTTGTTCTGCACCAGGAGGTCAGTGAGAGAGAGAGAGAGAGAGAGGGTGCAGGGTTCTTTCTGGATCTCAATAAGAAAGGCCTGACAACAAATGGCTTAACAAAATAGCTGTTTTAATACAACAGAATAAAACCAGGAATATAAATAGGATAAAAAGAACACAGGTAGAGAGTAGAACTTATACCCCTTCAGATCCTGGGCATCCTGCCTTTGTGCAGCACTGGACAGAACCTGGACGGATTTTCCCGTGGTGCACTGCACAGATCCCATCCATGGAGGGTTTCCATCTTCCCGTGTCCTGGGGCGCAGGCTGGGCTGGCATGGGGCACTCCATCGGGTTCCCATACAGCCACTGCTCATGCTGACCTTCAGGCTGCTCGAGTGCCAGGTACGAGGCCCAGTAGAGCAGACGCGTCTGTTCAACATCACTAACTCCTTGAATACACCACCTTCCGCAGGGCTCGTAGTACAGATGCAGATCTCTCCGGCAGCTGAGCTTAGACGGAGTCCAGCCAGCAGCTGACCCCTGGACCCTCTCACCTCCAGATACATACATCCTCTCACTGCAGCATCTGCAGTTGCTGGCACCGCAGGCACAACTCCCACCCGCGCTCCCACTCCAGTTGCTGCACTCAGACCCCCATCACACACCCCCAGGAAACGAGAAAGGGATTTAGTAAGGAGACAGGACAGGCCACACTGATCAGGTGAAGGGCAAGGCTAGAAAAACGTACTGACCAGCACCCTATTTACACACAACCGGCCCTCTTTATCTGCTTATCCTATTTTCCCACACTTTCTCCTTCCAAAATCACCTTTGGGTCACCTGGTTAAAGTGCTGCTGAAGAAGAGAAAAAGGTGAGTTGGTTTTCCCAGCATTGTTGGCTGGATGGCTGCTCCGCACAGTGAAGCATTTCCAGGAGCATCCTGGAGCGCAGTTAGCTGTGGGCAGCTCTGTAAGCATTTCCGTTGTGAGCACTTTATAAAAGTCAATCTCCTCAATCATATCGATGAAGATTCTTCAACAAAAGCCATGCTTTGTGTTGCAGAGAAGCAGCAGCACCATGTAATGCTGACAGTGCCCCAAAGAGGGAAGAGCCAGCTGCAGGTGAAGGCAAAGCAAAAAAATCAACAAAAGGAGAAAAAATGGCTGAAATTGCCGTAAAAATTGAAGTTGACATTACTAGCTCCCATCCACCTCCAGGGGATCTTCCAACAGAGCTGGTCCAGTTACTCCATGCCAGGGATTCAGAACCAGCCTGCCAGTCAGAGGGAGTCCGAGAGTGGTGGTGGCTCTTCCCCAGGTACAGGCACAGGCAGAACGATTTCCGAGAAATAGAATGGATGCCATTGCCTGAGAAACTGATGTCAGAACAGTTCCCATCCACTTCCAGGGGCATTTTCCTGCAGAGCTGGACAGGTTATTCTATGCTTCACCTTTTAAATATTTATCAATGCATCGTCTCAATTTTCTGCTCTGGTTTGAAGTGTTGGCACTCTCATATAATTTATTATGACAATGCTGTTAATACAGTTATTTCCAAGCCCAAAGGAAGATTTGAAGTATTTATTGCTCAACTTTTGATCCACTCTCTTGATAAGAATCTGGCCCTAACAGGATAGGGCCAACAGACGATCACGAAGATTCATCTTTTTGCCCGTATATTTTTTTCATTGCTCCATCTTACTTGAAAAGGGGTCACTGGCTTCCTCAACCCATGCTTGTTACACCACAACTGCTCAGTTTTAATTGTAGGATCAGAAGCTACAGAAAATATGTAGATTGAAATAAACATGACAGCTTCTGGGTTAGGGGATGAAAGACTGTTCTCCACCCACACAGGAGCACTGAGGACAATGGCAGGTCCCCACTGGCCCAGGTATTCTGTGCCTTGTGCTCAAAACGTCCCCCTCAGCTGGGCAGTCAGAGCAGCTCCTGCAGCAGGAAGGACTCTTCCTAGATCGATGGATATCTGCGGAATCACCCCAGAATGATCATTTCCAGCACAGCCACTACTGCGAGTTCTTCCCTGCGTATTGCTGGATTCATTTTAGCACCGAAGGGAACTAAACCTTTGTCTGGAATTTGTCCTCTAGTTCTGACATTGATGCTGCCTCTCTGGCATGTGGATTGCCCAATGACACGTGGGATCATGCAACATGTCTCTCAAGGCAATGGCCAAAAGAGTGCCCATGCAGCTAATTTTTTTCCCACGTTTTGGCCAGAACACAATTACATAAGCTTTGTAGTTCTTTCAGACTTTATAAGAACAATACTCTCCCACCACACCCACAAAACCAGAGTACTCCTGCCTGTCAAGTGATTTGCGACCTTATGATGCCAAGCTCGGCATCCTTCAGCTTTCCTTTGGCACACACAATAACACTGGCTTCAGGGTCCATGATTTCTTTCAGCTGAAATGCTGCCTGCAAGTACTCCCATGAGGGCAGCTGCACTGGCAAGTCCTTTAAGGGCACAGGGTCAGAAGCCTTACATGTTTTATTTAACAAAAGCAAGGACTCCAAGGCCTGCACAGTAAAGGGAATCCTGGTGTCCAGAGGGCAAACCTGCTAGTCCAGGGCTGCAAGTCACTGCATCATTCCCATGAGAGCTCACCTCCCTCATGACTCACAGCAGCCTCGCCTGCATGGCCTGGCAGGTGCCTCTGCTTCCCAGGGATTCAGGTGGAATAAGGGCAAAAGGCAAAAAAAGGCCACAGTCCTGGCTGATCTGAGGGTAATTGTTAATTAATTAATTGCACACAACTCTAAGTATAGATAAGACTAGTACCAAAATCCTGTAATGGGTAGGGATCTGTAAATCAATACACTCCTAACTGGAAGCTTCTCCTTTCTTACCCTGTGGAAAAATCATAATCTTTCAACTACAAAAAGCAAACCACTTGTTTGAAAGATAATTGTGTGTTTATTTTTCTAAGCTTGCACTTGTGGAACATAATAAATGACCTGATATAATGACAACTTTGCAAAAGAAGAATCCCCCCTCTCCCTAACATCTGGACAGCAATATATAAATATTTACAATGAAAAAACAGGGAAGGGAAGGGAAGAGAATGAAGTCAACATTAGCCAAGTCAGTTTGTTTCTACACATCCAAATTCAACATCAATTATTTCATTCAATTCAGTCTTAACCAAAAGTTTCGTTTCACAGTACTGAGGCTTTAACTTCATTTTTTAGATCTTACTGGCAATAGATACACTCCTGCTCTGCTTCTATAGTTTTCTCCTGTACAATAGCCATAGAATTTCCATACTAAATTTTTCTTTTTCAGTTTGTTAACTTTGAAAACAACAAAAAAATTAAATATAAGTTTATGTCTCCTGATACAAAGTTTCTCACACAGTCAAACACATCACAACACTGAAAATCAGCATAATGAAATGCTGTATAGCTTCTTAACAAGGACATTAGATCTGGGTCCTAATTTGTTGGCTTTAACAAAAGCTCTCTTCAAATAGAACAAGTATATATAGAAAAAATAACCTTCTTATTTTCTTGTTAAAAAAGGAAAGGGTGCTTTCTATAAACAAAAGATGCAATTTCCTTGACACAGATATAAGTTACAGTGGAGAGAGCTCAGAAAGCTTCAAATTAAATTGGCATTTGTTTAAAAGGATGATTTAAGAAGGTGATTGGAAGAGGTTCAATCAGCCCATTTAGTCTGGTAATTCTAGAAACGTCAGTGTAAAAAAAACCTACTTTTTTTGCTTTCTGCTATACAGTGTCACACAACCACATGACTGACAATGTGTTGCCTGCAGAAATGGTAGACACCGATCACGCACGATTTGGTTGCATTATGTCAACACTGATTGCCTTGTCCAACAAGAGGTTCAACATCCTTCGGATACCGAGGTGCAGTCCTTAGCAGTTGTTTCACATATGTGAGCTTCGTCTGCTTCTAGTGCCCAACGATACACGAAGCCTTGGCTCTCTTGCTTTATAATGTTCATTGAAGTCCAATCTAAAGCTAAGAAACCGAAGGCTTTCGTCAGAACTGGTTGTCAGCAGGACCAAGAACTGCTGGACGATTCCCTGAAGGAGAAAGAAAAACCCAAGAGACAGCTAAGATGACATCAGTAGTATGTTTTGCACAGGGATGCAGGTGGTCCCCAGGCCTGGCAAGGAGGCAGAGGAAATCTGGGAAAGGGCAAGCACAAGCATTTATAACCAACCATTAGCAAATGAGTTATGCTGGATTCGTTCTTTCTGCAGAAACCCAGAGCTTCATTTTATCTTCAAACATCTGCTGTGCACTTCAGTCTCCAGGGCAAACAGCTCAGTCTTTTAAACCACTTCCCCCCCTTGCCCTGCTGCCACTCTCCATCTGTCCAAAGGCTCCCAGGCTGACTTGCCCTGCTGGCACTCTCCATCTGTCCAAAGGCTCCCAGGCTGCAAGGGGGGCTGCGCTGGTGCCACTTCCCTGGCCCTCCCAGAGCAGCTTCACCGTACCCAGGAGACCAATTCAGGAATCCAACCCATGCCAACAGGAGACCTCACCTTGTTTCTGTGTTACACGTACAATGCAGGCCAGGAGAGCATTAGACCACTGCTTGCTTCAAAAATATGCATTTGATGCAGGCCATACAGCAGCAAGTGGCATGCCAGAACAGTAGAGCATCTGCCAAGTAGGGCAGTCACTGCTACAGACCCAGTAGCTAGACTCTAAGCATTTGGAGCAGTTTTTACGTGGGAATTGCACTCGGCATGTGGGAGGCACGCTCCTGGAGCCCACCTTCCCATTCAGTTCTAGCCAAGGGACTGCAGGAGCTGCACAGCACACAGGAAAACAGATGACTTTGGGAGGATGGGAAGACTCACTTCAAGAGCTCATTCCTGATCTCCTCTAAATACTACTGTGTCCATAACTGGAGCATTCTATTACTTCCAAAGATGACCAAGACTGGCCAGGGAACTCCTGCATGGAAAATCCATAGTAGGGCTTGGCAGGAATACAGTCCAAGCAGGCAAAAGCTACATTGCCAACTTGGAGCAATCCTGCAGAGCACACAAACTACAATCTATTCATAGCCCACTCTTCTGAAAGAATTTGGCTCCATTTTCTCTGTGAGGGAGAACTGCAATATTTGGACTCAGGAGCAAATTCCTCCCAGATTTGAAGTCCTTGCATCAGAGCTCAGGATCTCTACATCCTTCAACAAAAGTCACCAATATTTTATAACCTGGGTGCCCTATTCTGTTTTCATTCAAACTTCCATGTGAACTGAAGTCTTTTGACAATGTAGCACTTCATCCAGGGTAGCTATAGCTTGGCAACGCTATAGGCAATACAGAAATGGATCTGGTGCAAACCACCAGAGAGAAGGACTGGGAAGTGCTCTGCACATGCTGTACAGGTGCTAGGTCACAACTATAACTGCTATAAAGAACCAATTGTACTCTTACAAGGTAAAATGAATGTAGGGGTAACAACCCAGCAAAACCATTTCAACCTTGTTCATTTACCTAGGAAAACAATGCATGCTTACATGTCTAATATTTGTCCAAATGCGTGTTTGTGGATATTAAAATAGGAAAGAAAGATACAAGAAATATCAACAGCAAGATAGAAGAAAGCAGGCCCTACAGCTTTAAGTCAAACTCAGTATCAACATCATTAAAAAATCCTAACTTGAAGCATGCCAAAGGTGATAAATAAGAGAAGTTAAAAGGTACACTACACGACATCAAGAGTATCTCACATGTCAAAGTCAAGAGATGAACTAAGGTAGGGTTTTGGTTTTCAGTTGACTTGGGGTCTAATCCTGAAAGGCTGCTGTGGTACATAGCACTGTGTCCCTCCTTTTCATCGCTTTCTGGAATGCTTTCCCTGAAATCTAACAGCTGATTTTCCTGGGGCATGGAAGCTTTAGAATCAGATCTAACAAATTAAGACAAAGACAGAATAATTCCCATCAAAGACGACAGCCTGTGCGTGTTTCCCCAAACAGCTTGCCCACTGCACTTAAAATCAAGTGTTAGGCCCTTAATAAGGACCCTTTCTGCAGTCTTTAATAGCAACGGCTTGCAAAGATGGTGAGAAGAAATGGAATGCAGAAGAAATTCTATTTTTTTTTCTTTTCAGATTACACCACAAGATAGGTAATACTTCCACTACTGGAGGAAGGAGGAGACTTACATGAAGAGACTATTCCTCTTTGTCAGGGGAACATATACAATCACAAAACCTGCTGTCTACTGAGGAACAGTGAATACAGGCTTCTAAGTAGAGAGGCAAAAAATGAAGACCTAGATCCACAAACTGCACGCACAAATACATAATGTACACCTACTCCATATATGAAATTGATTTCTACATATCAAAGCTCAGCAACCATATTGAAAAAAAAATAATCTATGGCGCACCTGGTAAAAGTGAGTGAGTATTCGCAGCTGCGAGCACATTTTGGGTATTGAGTCTTGAAATTCTTTCATCCTCTTGTTCTCTTCTTCATCTTCTGATGCAGTTACACCCCACTTGCCCTACACAGAGACCAAATGAGTTAAGAGGTCAAGCGTCACATGATGAAAGTGGCTAATTGGGCCACATTCTGCCCAGTTAAACCACCATGTTTATACACACCAACCACTGCCATAGAAAGCGAAACATGGAATATTGAACCTATTAGTCCCTTGGTGGTTGTACAGCACATGAAAGAAATCTGAGTTTAGCAAAGCAGGCTAGTCTCACACCAGCACTGCATGTCCTAGAGACTAACAGTAGGGAGGCAGGCATGGAGCTATGGCATTTTTTGCAAAAGGGTTCAAAATATTAAAGCCTCTTCCATTTCCTTCACGTAAAGCAGACCTGAATTTCTCATCCTCCAAAGCCCACTGCAGAATCTATTCACCTAGAGGTTTTGGGCAAGACAGAAATGAAAAACACTGTTCAGCAGTTTTGTTTGAATTCACTAGCTACTGCTGATGACCTTTACATTTGTCCCAACTACACTTTTCATTTTTACTGTACCTCTACATGACATCTAAAATCCTCTGTATATCAAAAGACTGCCTGAATTAATTTTCATGTTCTAGCAATATCGTTACTGTACCTCAAGCTCACGCTGTTTTTTCCTCTCTTCAAATTGCAGTCTCAGCTGCAGCTCCTCCAAAGCAGCTCTGTACATTGCATCTTGGGCATTCTGGAGCTCAATGATCTGATCAAAAACAGCTCGAAGCTGGTTGAGAAGTACCTGTGAGACAGTTAAGCAACAAAACAATTGGAGAATTGTACAGCAAAAGAATTTTAAAGTTACTACCACTCTTCAGAACGTGAGTAAATTAAATCTTTTTACACACGGCTGGAGAGACTGTTTTGCAAAGCCCTAAGTCAGTTGTTGCATGATCACACAGCTTCTTAGGACCAAAAGCAACTGGCCCACACTGTAACAAGTTTTACAATCAGCATCTGTCACTGTGTGTGGGGAGTATGAACAGAACCTACCATAATAAGGTCTTATATCAGAGGAAGAAAAATGACTTTTCCCCTTGCTCCTACAATATAAGAGCAGATGGTTCCTAACACATAAGCCAAGATGACAAAGCTACAATTTAATGCAAAAAGAGAAGACTTACCCTGGAATCGCTATCCAGCAAGCACCGAGCTATGATTGTGTCTAGAAAAACCTCATGAGCTGCGATGATGTGATCCAAGTCCTGTGCTTGTTGGACCTTGTTCCAGAGTTCATCCCACGAACATTCAAGCACCTGGAGCAATGATTCAGGATTGGGCTGTTTTGATTTGCTAGATGACAAGCTCTTTGAAATTTAAGACACACAACACACACAAAATATTAAAAGTACTTCATTTTTAAGCAACTAATTGTGTGGATAGAGTATACCTCAAATGTAATGTAATACTGCATTTGATGAATGAAATGGACCATTTCTGATGCCAGAACGTGACACTGATGCAGCACCCCAGAAAGCTCTGTAAAAAATCCAAAGAGATGGCATGTTAAAGACTGCAAGGACAGGCACAGCCATCAAACCAGCTTGGTAAACTTTTTCTACCAAACTGAACACTTCATAAACCAGCCACTAGTCTTGGATGGTAGCAGCAATACTGGCTGGCAACAGATGAGCAAAGAACATTGCACAATTAACTCCTAGAAGAAGTGAGCCAAAGATGACACCAACTATGTGCTCAGACAGTGCTGGAAACTTGCTGAGCGTCCCAAGTGAAAAAGACCCTCTCAGTCCCGAGACCAAAATACAGTAAACATCCCATGCGTTCTTTGTTTGAAAACCTGAGGCCACAGATTTACAGTTGCTTCTGGGGCCTCTCATCTCTTACCATTAGCCTTCAAACCACAGACAGCATACTTTGCATTACTTAGTTACACTGAGACCAAAAGAGAGGGTGGTTGTGACAGGGGTAGGGAATGTGTGGCTCATGTGGTCCAGGCTCAATTCCCTGATCCACTACAGAGACCCACAGGCAAGTCACTAATGGCCTCAGCCGCTCGCCTGTAAGAGAATTTATCTCTGTTGTGCAAGGGTATTATCAATATTACCATCAACTGCAAAAATTCTCTGGAATGAAGATACTCAGCCTTGTGGATTCAGGCAGATACCCAGACAGAGGAAGTAATTTCTAAAAAGCTGCCAATTTGCCACTGCAGACAAGCTATGAAACTACTACAAAAGGAATTCTACATTTTTGTACCTTGGGATGCTACAGAACCTTCCAATGATTTGAAAGATATTACAAGCTACTCTGTTCTTCATTTCTTATGTCTTTGCAGGAAGACTATCCCTAACACATTATGTTCCATTTACTTTAAATAGGATCAATGAAAAAAACCTCCACAGTTGGCTAAACAACAGAAATTCCTCAACATTGGTGAGTAGGATAAATCTGTGTTTCTTTGTCAAATTACTGACAGGAAAAGAGCTAGCCTGACACTACCAACTAGAAGTACTCCTTTAGAGCACTAAAATCCCTGGCTGTTAAGATTTTTTGGGAATTGTGAATAAAGCTATCCTTGAAAGTCAATGCTACCTCTTCTTTATGGTTGAAAAACAAAAGACCCCGCAGCTGCTTCCTCCTATCAGTCACTGTCTTCCATTTGGTGCTCTGTGACTGGATGGGCAAGGTACTGTTTTGGAGGGAGAGAGAGAAAATAAAAGCACGTTCTACTACTTCTTCATAAATCAGTGCTGGGGTATACTCCATGTATTTCAGAAAAAATTCTACCCGCAGCTTCCAACTTAAGCATGCCAGCGAGCAAGAAAGACTCCTGTCCCTCCAGGCAGAAGGCAGTACAGATCTTTGTAAACATACTCTCCTTTGTCAGAGGCACAAACTGAGAAATACAACACTCCTTCTGACAACACTAGCTAAAAGAGCTTGGCCAGCATTTTAAATGTCTGCATTACTTAAAACACAGCCAAACCTAAAGGCGACAAGCAACTGAGCTTTTACTTTACAGAAGATTGCTCCATGGCAAAGCATGAGAAAAGCCTCCCAGGGAGGAGGCAGGGGGAGAAAAAACCCCAAACTTCCTTCTGAGAACAAAAGAATAAACAAAACCCTAGCAATGGGAGACAGCTCCAGCCTGAAGACCCTCAGGTAATGAGAATAAAATCTGTTAACTGCACCTTAGTCTCAAAGCGAACAGAAATCCAGAACGCAACAGACCACTGGTTTTGAGTCAAACAAGCACTTATTTGGAACACGGAAATGACAGTAAACTAAATCCTATCTCACAGAAACAGAAAGGAAACCTAGTCATCCTGTACAGTTCCAGATATCAGCCTTGTGCACTGGAGCAGACTTTACAAGACCTTGTTTCCCGGTGACCTTCTGAGGCCAAGATGTCCACTCCCACCCAGCAAACAGTTCCTAATTATAAAAACATATCTTTGTAAATATTACTATGCCACAAAAAAGCATAACCCTCAATAGCTATGTTTTACTGAGAGAAATGTAGCTAGGTAAACAAAGTCAAGATTAAGCCAGTACAGATGCTCACAAATATGACTATATTCTCAGCTGAGAAGTAAAATCAAAAAATCCCAGTCCATTAAACACACACCAGAGCCACAACACTTAAAAGCTTTCCTATTTCTTCTCAAACATCTGTTCCTCTTATCTTTGCCTCTTCTGTTCTTAGCTGAACAAAAGCACAGGGAATGAGTGAAGGTAGAACTAGTAAATTCAGAAGCGTGCATGTGTGAGACTTACTACTTCCAGCACATGAAAGGGAGACACAGGGTACGGATAGGAAGGCATCAACCAAGATGAGTAAAAGGGGATGGAAGAGTAACGGTCTCTTTCCAGAGACATGGGATGTTTCATCTGCTCACTGCTACAAAAACTCACAACCAAGGGTTAAGTAAAACAACAAACAGGAAACTTCCATGTACAACAATGTTATTTTATCTGCATCATCATCTACCATTAAACACTCAGTCAAGAGGAACAACAAAATATAACACTCATCTGTCCCAACAGACTTTTTTCCCCACCTTCTTAACATCCAGTTTAAAAGAAGATGCAGTCATCTAAATCCAGTTTACAAGTATGTAATCCACTTGGGCCTCTCTCACCTGGTATACTTTTCAGAAGCTTTGCATTGCACATGTGCCCTTTCCATATATCAGTAAGAATATACTCCATTCGCTTTGCTCTCCAAAGGAAATTAAATACTCTTAGATAGTGGCTCATGCACTCACGTGTAAATACCTACAAAACAAACAAAATATCAGTACAAATTTAATAGACATACCATGTGTTCTGAAGGACCAAGAACCTCTTCATAGTCCATCTATTCCGTCAAGGCAGCTTATTGGTAAACATTGTCTAAACAAAATCCCTGGAAACTCCAGAGCTTTTGGGAAGATCCTCCCCTCAAGGGCTGAACATTCAAGTAGGCACAGGGCACTGCTGAGGGCAGAGCTATATAGCACCTGCTCTGGTCCAGAGTGCACTTCAACAGCTCTGTCATTTTATTTTTTGCTTTTTGACACTAAAAGGATTCCCACATTCTCAATTTTTCCACATCATATCCTTGAGAAGACTGAAGACACTCTATGAGTAGAAATGCATCACGGCTTATATGCTTCTCTACATGAGTCCTCCACATAGGCATCTTTTCCATATTTTAAAAAAAGTTAAATAAAAATGTTGGTTTGGGTTTTTTTGGTTGGTTTTTTTTTTTTTTTTTACATCTTAAGTGCTGCTCTGATGCTTTTGCCAGTTCCAATTCATTGTAGGCTGAGAAAGTACAACTGTATTTGTTGTCCTACCAATATGCCAATTAAAAAAGCTTGGACCCACATGCTAGGAGGCAATAATTTCTTGGAAGGTTTTGAGCACTTCCAATCCCCTATGGGAGGAAGTGTAAGAAGGGGTGAACAAGGCAAAGCCTAAACATTTTGCTCTTTTCAAACTACTTGAAAATTCTTTCTGCTGGTCAGACTCACATTTCGATGCCCTGTTTAAAAAAAAAAAAAAACTTCTTTATAAGTTCTTTACAGAGGCTAAATGCAGTCTGTATAATCTGTATAGTCTGTAATAGTGCAGTTATTTTCTCAGTAGTTCTAATGAACACTACCTATCAAATTTCATTTAGCTACTACAAATTTAATTTAGATAGTACAAATAGGTTCTCGTCAAATACATTCTTCAGTTCCTTGCAAATTATCCCAAATTAGCAGCTACAGCCTAGTAATAATGGAAGAAGAGGAGCACTCCATTTATTAAGTACTTGCTAAAATCTCTGCTGGAACAAATGAATTACTGATTTTCAGTAATGATTGTTTTAAATGTAGCTTTTTAGCACTCACGGTTAATTCATAAGAATTGAGATTTTGGCTCAACTGTTTATATAGTGGGTGCTTCCTAGATAACAAAAAAAAATAAGTCTCTCTGATCTTACACTCCAGAATAAAAAAAAGGTTATTACAATAAAAAAAATTTAGCAATTCAATTCAGTATCTGAGACCCGTTCACAGCCAGCAGTATAGGACATTACCGTTGCTATTGGCCCATCAACATGATAGTCCAAGCTGAAGACATCCCATCCAGTGTCCCCAGGAGATACCTGTATTAAAAAGATATGCTACTTTCAGTGTATAACCAGAGCATACTAGTGCTGAAGAGCAACTCTTGCTTACCCTTTCAAAAAGAGCATCCACATCTATGTGGGATACAGGAGTTCCTTCTTGAAAGGAAAAACTTCTTAGGCAGGACTCAGCCTAAGGTATAGACTTATTTCAGATGCTACAGTACATCAGTTAACTCCCACCTCTGGGACTGGAGCTTTCTCATTAACTCAAGTTTCTTACCAGAGGCATCCTTCATGAAATGCACTTTCATTGCTTCACTCTTTGTAACTAGTGGCAACAAAGAGACCACCCCCCAGATTCTTGTAAGAGCTGTTTGCAGAACCTCAAATCAGAGCCACCAGCATCAATTACTGTTGGACCCCAAATACTTAACTTCATCTTGTCAATGAAACGGCTGCAAACCCACAGCTTGAAATACAAATAGGCAATAGGCAGGAAATGGGAAAGGAAGACTTATTAAATGAGGTTTACATAATTCAAAGTAGACTTCAATGGAAAGGGGGGGAGATGTATTTACTATATACGCATATGAAAATTTTGTTTCATATAGGTGTCTGCACGTATACACACACACAAAAAAAGTATGTTTCAGGTCAGAGTCACCATGATGCAACAGACCTCCAGAAGTCGAACATCCAATCGTTTGAGAATCTCAGGATTATCAAACTGGGCATTAGTTGCCCTCACCGCTGTTTCAAGGATTCCAGTTAGGTTATGCTGATACAAGGTTGTAGCTGGTCGTGCAAGCTCTGGCCTGGTAGTTATGAAACAAACAGTCATGGCATATTACTGAGATATTCTGCAGCAGCAATTTGATAGTAACTGCAGCACACAATGAAACACTTTTCTGACAGACTTTCAAAACCTCTTGTATTATTCTTTCAGCCTTAATCACGAAGGAAATCAATGAGCAAAATATTTGAGCAGAATATGAGCAGAATATGTCTATTCATATGCAGTTATACACCTGAACATCAGCATGAGGAGTAACTTTATCCTCATTTAATGGCAGTAATTTGAAATTACCAGGATTGCTAGCATAACTATTCTGCAATCTGAGTTGCATTCATATCTAAAATGAGGCAGATTACATCATTAACAAATCAAACCAATAACTTCATTTCAGTTTTGAGAAACTTACTGATAGCCATCTCATGGGCTTAGAAGTACTGGCCAAAGCACACAAACCCCCTCTATGTAACTTAAACTTTGGAAAGAGTTGCAACATGCAAGTAACAAGCACCTTGCACTACGCCTCTCCCTCACAGTCAGTACAGGAAAGCCCCTCACTACTTCTGCCTCAAATGTTATACTGACTCCACAAACCAACCTTATTCTGCTTCATACTACTTTTCACTTAAAAAAGCATGGTCATGTACAAATCATCACCAGACAATGTTGATTTTTGATTACAACAAGTTAATAGAAGCTCTATTACAAAGCCTGCCTTCTAGACCAAAGGAAAGCTGTGTAAAGGACATTTTTGGTAGACTAAGTTTCATCAGTAGCACCAGCATGTAAAAGCAGTGAACTTGCAAATACACTTTAAGAACTGAAACTGATACTTGTGGGTGCACGTGAGTGCTTAAAACAGAGGCTGGTGAGGCATCGATTAAATTTTTAAAAATGCATTGAGGGGTTTTGACACAATGTTTCGGACCAAACACTTCCAAAATATAGAGGCCTAACATTCACAGCAATGCTAACTAGCGGCATCAAGAGCAACAGAACTTTTCTGCTTAAACTTGCTGGCAGGAGCAAGAGAAGCACTAACGTCCTTGAGGCTGTCACAGGGTCAAGTGCAACTTTTCAAGACATTGTGAAATGGTACTATATATACTTCCTACCAAAAAGGAAGAACAAAGTTTAAGCCTCAGGGTCAAAGAAATTAAACCCAAAATACAATTTAAGAGTTGTTCAATTAAACCTTTGAGTAATAAGATACTTAAATGGTCCTCTTCTAAAAGTGAAACAGTTTCTGTGCTGATCATGCACATTTGCAAGCATCAGAAATTCAACATAATTACCCTTCCTACTCTCTTACTTGAGCAAGTCCATTAAATGCCTGATAAAGTCTCCTTGACCAAGTAGTAAGTAGCGCCTCATGGCCTGCATGTGTTCCAGTAAATTGTACTTCTTATTGAGAACATCCAGCAGGTATTTGCTGGTCTCAAAATACGCTGCATCAATTTTCTCTTGAAATGCATTTTCCAAATCTGTGAACAAATCAGCAGCTAAGAAAAAAAAGAAAGAAAAAAAAAAAAAACAGAAAAAAAGTTACAATTAAATTAGTATTTTTGCAAAACTGAGGCAAACAAGCTTTGGAATTGAAACATACAAGCAGAGAAATTGTTGTTAATTCTGATCTACTATATTATACATTTGGCATAGCCAAAGTGAAAGCAAGTCTAAAGCAGCCCACACTATTACTTTTAATCTGTGCCCAGCTTGTACTTTCCAATAAGAGCTCATATTATTTCATCACTTTTACACAGAAAGTGATTTTTTTTTTTTTTAGCCTGCTGAAATACTGCAATTTACAGACTCAAATAACTTGAAGGAGATCTAAAAGCTCAGAGTTAGGGAAAAGCTTTGTTGGGAGGATCTAAATCAGAAGTCACTTCTAAGGGGGGGGTAAAAAAAAAAAAAAGAAATCAAAGAATCAGTCAGAACATTCAACAGAAAAGAGTTCTCACATGTAAGTCAGAATGAGAGAGGAGGGAATATGCTTGCATTATCTGGAGGACAGCCAGCAACCTGATGTTTTCTTCTCCACCATTAATGCATGGCAATTTGGAGGAAAGAAGTAGGACGCTGCCCTTTAGTAGGAAGCATATTTCACTCTTTTCTACAACTACAAGCTTATTAAGAAAGGGACTGCAATAAGGCTGTTACGAGATAGCAAGACGTGTGGCCTCTTCAGGCAACATGGAGCAAAACTCCAAATACTGGACTGCCAACTATCGTAAGATTCAGACTTTCCTCAGCATTAAAGGATATACTCCCACTTCCAACAATTTTTCATCACACAACTATTGCTCTACAAGTGCAAAATTAAGATCCAGGTACCAAATTAGTGTCAAGGCAGAGATCTGGTGTGATCTGACAAAGCGATTCTTGCATTGCTCAGGTAAGGAAGCATGCAGCAGTGTTCCCATTGCTAGAGAAAAGGGAAAAACACCAGTTCGTGCAAATGCATTTGTCTCACTGGTACAGGGCAACAGGGCAGTGAGAACACCCAATCAATTCTGAGTTTCTTCTAGTCCTTCCCCGTCAGCAGATCCTGTCCTCTTAACTGCTATCTTCAAAAGATGGGTTCAAGCATGGCTGCTTGCATGCACAGTGGTACCAGCCATCTGATCTGCCACATGGCTTCACTGCTGGCTTTAGAGGAAGAAGGAAGAACTCCCAGAAGGGGAAAAAAGCTAAAAGAGGAGTTTCACAGACAGAACACAGTAAGTTACAACACCCCAATGATCTGTTCCTGCAACTGCCTTTTCACAAGATGCTGTGAGCCTAATGGGCAAAGCAAAAGAGGGCATAAGCCAACCCAAAAAGAGTTACGAGCTAATACCTTCAAGCGACTGGACACAGAGGTCGGACCTAGGACTGGCTCAAGGCACAGGCAAGGCCAACAGGCAGCAGGCAATTGCCTAGTTTGCCTAGGGCAAGCCTACCAAGTCGCACATGCTGGTCCTGCCTCCAGTCAAGTAGGGGTGAGCATGTGTAAGGCAGTACCTATGGCTGAGTACACATGGACCAGTCTCAACTTGTTGTTATCCCAAGCAGAAAAAAAGCCTTTCCCCTCTCCTTAGTACTGCCCCTTGCCTTGAGGGAAGTGACCTGGCCACAGCCCTTCACCTCCGAGACTGGAAAATTCAAGTTTACATGTGTAGCTGTAACACACCATCTCTGCATACATGTACACCAGCATAGGCAATGCACCATCCCTGTTTGACGTGCAAAACTACTAAAAAGGTTGCTGACTTCAACAAACAAGAGGCATAGGCACAAGTTTTTAAAGCTGTGCAAAATTATCACAGGACACTGTGAAAAGCCAGAAATGGGTCAAGAAACGATCAGGCAAAAAGCACTGACAGACAGGTCCATAAGTTGCTACTGAATGTAGTGGTCTCATGTCATTCCTGGTTCAGAAGTTCCCAAACTGTGGACAGCTAGAGGTTGGAGCTGGGATCACTTTGTCTGCCTTTTTTTACTGTCCTTCTTCCCCAAGTGCCTGCTACAATCCCCTGTCAGGCAAGATGACCAACTTCTACACTGTTCTTCATCTCTGACTTCCTGTTTCAATGCACGTTCAGGCAGGGATTTTTACATCATGATTACTTCAGCATCAAAAGGAAACTGGGTAAACACGAGAGCTAAGGTTCCAAAGCAAATTAAAGAAATAAAAAATACAGCCAAACACATGAAACATTCAGATTTAAAATGAGAAAAAGCATCCAGAATTCAGGCCAGCATCCTAGCTTTCCATCGTCTTATTATAAGCAATGATCTGAAGGGACTCTCAGGATATTGTCAGATGGCACAAGCAAGGAGGACAGAATGCATTTCCAACATCACTGACACAGTGATGATTCAATCTTTCTGGAATGAATGGGTAAAATGCCCTAAATACAAACACAGTTTCATGCAGAATTAAGGCAGTGCAATACTGTGAGGTATTTAGGCTACAGACCATAAACTCAGCATGCCTTCAGCACACTGCAGATACAGTGGATAACATCCATTTCTAAAACTACATTTCTGTCTGAAACAGGTGTATTCAGCACTAAAGATAATGTTCTTGCTTTGAAGCTCTCGTACCATACATAATAGGGAACCTATATTTGTGCAGATCTCCCATTCAATCAAGGGGAGAGAAACAAGTGAAAATTAAAAGAAATACTGGAAAACCATGGCCATAAATGCTGTGTAAAGTGGTGAAAGTACTGTAGCTACTGTTTTTGCCTTTTTCAGGAGTAGCTGGCAAAATGATGGTTCAAATGCATTTACAGCCCTTATTCACTTAACCCTGACCCCTCTCTGCACTTTCAGTGCATCTTTGACTAGGCAAGCACTGCACATGGTACAAAAATCACATTATTAGATGAAATATTCTTGCAGACATGAATGCAATTTTGTTATGAGAACATCTTTCATGGAGGTACTCATGCTAAAAGTCCATGCTGTGAAGAGCTAATATCAAAACTAATCCAAGGTTAATCTGAAGGGAAAAAAAAAAAAGACAATCCCACAAAATGAAGCTTCAAAGTTATATATAATAATGTCATATTTGAATACAGAAATAACAGATGTTATTGTTATTGTACAAGATGTCGAAAAGTGCCAAGAAGGATGTTCTTAGAAAACTAAGTAAAGAACTTGACAGAAAAACAAATGTTTAGATAATTCTTCTCTTGGCAAAAGCTGGATATATTAGTAGGATATCATTATACTTCTAGAAACTACGTACAAAATAACATCAGAGAAATTATTCCAGTGAGCTGTATCTTAACAATTAGACTCCCTTTGGTATATTAAATGAGTTATAAAAAGAAGTTACAGTAGTAAAATATCACCTTCACCAGAAGAAAACAAGTTGTCCTTTCACCCAGATGTAATAGCACCCTATGCATTACCTTCTTTGCTTAGTATTTACACATAAAGTCTCCTTGTTTTAGATGTTTATCATTTGCTATCTTTCATCATAACAATGTTAACTTCATTGCAAAGAATATGCCACCAAAGAACAACTGCAAATAGTATATAAGTTCTCATTCATTAAAACTTAAATCTCTTCTAAAGAGAAAGAAATAACCTGAAGGAATTCTGACAGTTAAGTTTTGGTTTAACATTCAACAGCTGGCAACCCCAGTTTTAAGTCATTTTCAAAAGGAATTTTACTAACCTTCCACATACTCTATTTTCTTCAGGCATATTACCGTGGAAGAGTGCATTTACGGAAAGGCTTCTGTCCTGCCTGTTTTCACTTCTCATTCTCTTATTTACAACTAATGGATAATTTATTATTTGTTATCACAGAATTAATTCAGTATTCCTGTGGAATCATATGATGAAGTATATTTGATGAGAAGTCACTGGTACTAAATTCTTACTGCAGCACTCAAGAATAGCCCTGCCCGCACCCCAGCGCTCTCGACAGAAGTCAGCTGAAGGCAGACTGTTTTCTGAATGGTTTCATTCAGAAATCCAGTACATTAACAACCATCCAGCAAACCTATCAAATTAAGAAAAGAAAATTACACATATGCATCTTCATACATCTTCTGTAAAATGCAAGTATCCATTGAAATACCTGTATTTTAGGGTAGACAGGACTTCTGTACTCCTTTCCACCCCACTATCCAAAATGTCAGTTCACAGTCTAAACCACACATTGTACAGAGCTCAGTTCAAAGGGAAAAAGCTAACACTGATACTCTACCATCTTTTGAAGACTCCGCAGATTTTGCCACAGCAATCATCTTTGTGGATGGAGTTTGATCATGACAAACTTGATGTAAGAAGTTTATGGATTTTCCTATTAGGAGGACCTGAACAAAAAAAAGGAAATTTTTTTTTTTTTTTTTTTTTTTTTTTTTTTGGGTT